CTTGTGATAGGCTTGGGGGATTTCCCACCATCTTGAAAAATCCTACTTATGAACTACAACTCCCAACATTCTCCACACAGTAACTTTTCAGGCTCTGGCGTTCGTCCCTCACAACAGCTCAAAGAAAAATGATATCCTTCTAGATATTGTTATGTCCCAGTTCATATCCGCCTCGCCCGTGATAGGGGATGATGGAACCAGTAGTTGAACAGTGACTGGAGGAAAATAGACGACCCCCCAGCTCTGCATTACAGACAAGTTCAGTTGTCATCTGCATCCATTTTTTACACTCGTCACAAAGTACATGGCACACAATCTTTTTTCCCAGTGACACCCTAGGCTGCCTGGAAAAAAAAATATGTATATGAAAAACACCTTCATATGGATTAATATCCTCTTAGCTCTAGGGGGAAAAAACCCACAATAATGATGACTTTTCACAGGTTCACATTCTGGGTGGCTTTAGGAACAAGAGCTGCTGCTTTGAAAAGAACGGAAGGGGTGTTCAGGCTAATAATCGTTTTATTAAAATGCACCTTCTTATATACCCGATGCCATCTCACATGTGATAACAGCTCCAAATGAGCCAGAACATTACCCTCCAATATTGTAAAGTTCCATTTCCAACTTGAGAGGAGAGCCTCTTATATTTAAGTCACTTAAAAACAGCCGCATGGGCGATCTCACTCAATTACTTTTTTTTAGAAACTTCCCAGTTCACTCTATTTAACTTTATGCTTTAGGGAAATGGAACTCTTTTGTACTGCTTCCTCCAAGAATATAAAAGAATGAAACTGATGGGGAATGGCAGCTGGAGGGGAGAGGACTCACAGATCTGGAGCCAAGCTGAAATGAATGCAGCCAAAGGGACTAGGTTTGCAGTTAGAAGCACCGCTGCCTTAAGAGATAAAAGGCATCTGATGATGCTAGGAGGAGCATCCGGCTGCACTGCAGTTAAAAATTAGCTTGTTTTTGTTTGGTGTTTGACTCAACTGCTTGAAGAATAAACCATTTAGAGTATCTGCAGCTGGGTTCAAGACCACATTACTGCCAGTTTGGCTGAGATTAAAATGTGACACTGTACTTGAAAAATGGGATTGACTTGATCAATCAGAGGGCTGGTGAAAAGTCTTGGGGGACATTTAAGCTAAAGAGAGAGTGTGCGAGTACAGCATTTGGGGTAAAATAATTTGATAAGGTGGACATTGTCAAGTACTCCTTCTGAGCTACTGAAGGAATATTTCTTAACACTACTTGAAAAAAGGGTTAATTCTCTATGGATCTACTATGGATCCCACAACCTTGGTGTTTCCTTGATGCCAAGAGTGGGAACAGATGTCAAACCTTGTCAAACCTTGTTGTTGTTGTTATTTAGTCATTAAGTCGTGCCCGACTCTTCGTGACCCCATGGACCAGAGCACGCCAGGCCCTTCTGTCTTCCATGGCCTCCCGGAGTTGGGTCAGATTCATGTTGGTCGCTTCGATGACCCTGTCCAACCATCTCATCTTCTGTCATCCCCTTCACACTTTCCCAACATGAGGGTCTTTTCTAGGGAGTCTTCTCTTCTCATGAGATGGCCAAAGTATTGGAGCCTCAGCTTCAGGATCTGTCCTTCCAGTGAGCACTCAGGGTTGATTTCTTTCAAAATGGATAGGTTTGATCTCTTTGCAGTCCACCCTGTCTAGCTGAAAGCCTCTTAATGTTGGAGAGAGGTGACTGAGGCAGTCCTTCAGCTTTGACAAATCGGACTTCAAAGGGCAGGTCACCACACAAAGCAAATTTATTTGCATATTCCTGGAGGTAAGAGAACCTCCTGGTGTGAGATCCAGACACTTTCATTAGTTAGGGATTTTCTTCTTTTAATCATATTGGTTTTTGCCCTCAGGCATCCAGATTAAAATTCTATAGTTCTTATATTTCTTAGCAACAGCTGAAATAATGAGAATTAATGTCACCAGGCTATGTCAGAGGGTAGGGGATAAAACCATCATACTTCAGCTAAGCAAGGCAGCTTTGGGTTATAGGTTATTAGATGAGATATCCAGAAGTTGGAAAAGTTACTTTTTGGACAGTAGCTCCCACTGTTACCCAACCTGCATGGGTACTAGGGCCTGATTCTGACAGGAGTTTAGTGCTAAGAGGTTAGCTCCGTGGTTTATAGTTTAGGTCTCTGGTGGCAGAGCCAGAGTTTGGGAGTTTGGTTCCCCTGCTGGGCTTTTTGCGCATAGAGCCAGCCTGTGTGGCCTTGGGCAAGCTGCACCATCCTGAAAGAAGGGAACGCTAAGCCATCTATGAATATTCTCTACCTGGAAAACCCTGAAAACCATCACAGTGAGTCAGAATGGCCTGGATGGCACATGGGTATTAAATGCATAACTAGCATCCCTAAGGTTTCCCTCGAGCAGCACATGATTGATTGCATCTTCTCTAAGGTCAGGTTGGAATGTCTTTATCCTTGGGGCAATTCCTGGGGTCTGCCCTTGTTCCTTTCAGTCTGGCCGGACTGCCTGGGCCCCCCGAACACAGATTGCTTCTTCCTTCTGGGTCTTTTTTTTTGTTTTGAAAGGTGATTTGCTGTCAAAGAGGAACGTTGACCTAGGCTGATTTTTTTTAAAAGGGCAGGGTCTGGGAAAGACATATTTGATGGGGAGATGGAGGTCTCTAAGAGCTGAGAGCGTTCAGATGCAGGAGGAGGAGGGGGGACGTCTATAAGATGCTCTTGCGGGAGTATATAATTTTTGAGTAGCAATGCCTCATTGTTAGCTTTGAGTGCACGCTTTTGAAAATAGGTCCATTCATTTACAGTGGTGCCTTACTAGACAATGATAATCCGTTCCACTGAAATTGCTGTTTAGCGAAATCATTGTCTACTGTAAAGCATTTCCCCATTGGAATGCATTGAAACTTGTTTAATGCATTC